ACGAAGCGTTAACACCGCGTAAAGATTGTCCAAATTGATTGTACGATAGCTTGGATATGGTACTGGACTGAAATTGGGTTTTCGGCCTTTTCGGGGCTTATGTAAAGCGCCCCCTATCGACGCGAGCCCGCATGAGACGCTTCAGAGAAAAGAAATCAAAAGAGTTGGTCAAGATAGCGATGATCTTTGATTGATGTTCCGCTTTATCGGGCCATTTATCAGGGACTTAAAGTACAAAAGGTGCGGCTACTATAATGGACTGGGAGAAAACAATAGTTATAATATAATAATAAGAATTAATAAGTAATTTCTTTCCGAAAAATTCACAGAAATCTTCACAGTAACCGTTTCCATTTCTCCTTGTTAAATTCAATTTCATTCATACGATCTCACCAAATTAATTTCGTAGTCAATCACTTGATTCATCTACATTTTCGAGTAGCCGCTGGCACGCCTTCGACTTTTGCTTTAATTTTTAATTTTATTTTGATTTCGAGCTATTTTATGTGCGGTTTGATGTTCTACGACACACCCAAAAATACGTTTTCACCCAATCTTCAATCGATGGAACCGCCGCCAGCAAATCTCCGCCGTCATCTCTCCACTCTCTTCTCGCCGTTTCTCCAGCTTCTTCTTCCTCGGCTTCTCCAGCCTCGAAAACAATTTATATTGCGCTAATCACGTGAAATAGATCAAATTTCTTTTGTCGGCTCGTCTCGCGGGGTATTTGGTATTTTCGTTTTCGAGGCTGAGACACGGGAACGGGACGACGACGATGATGATGACAAGAGAGCGGTTCCACTTCGGATCCAAAGATTCGGAATTGGCGCTTCGAGGAGCGAAGTTTCGAAGTGAGTTTCACTTGTTGTGGCAAAAGTGTTGCCAAGTTGCTCGAGAGGCCGTCAGCCAAGTAGGATAACCATCGGGGGCATTTACGTGGCGAAATTGAAAAAAAAAATAGTAAAATTCATCTAAAAGATAAAATTAATAAAAATACAAAAAGGGCTAACGGAAAAATACGGAGAGGTTAAAAAATATACATGTTAAATATTATTTCTATGCTTAACGAAAATTTAAACATAATGTTAAATATATCAATAAATAAATTAATATTAATCCTAACCTTAATAACTAAAAGTTTTACACCTTTTTGGCAATTTAAGAAGTGAAATTCACTGGGAGAAAATCACTAAAGTAATTGAATTACCGACACGAGATACATTTGGATTTAAGGAGCTGCAGATAAAAAATAAAAGCAAAGCTGGGTGAAATTCACTTTCCGATTGGTAATTGAAAGTTTCGGTGACAAATTCAGAGCTCGGAGCTTAGAAGCTTGCGAGGCGAGCCAGGTGAATTTCACTGCTCTCCAAAGCCAACAAAATCAAAAATAAATAAAGAAAAAAACAATCCGATCGAGTGGGTCGCAATGTTTTAATTTGTATCTTTCCAATTCCACTGCCATTTCCATTTCCATTGCCGCAGACTCTGTGTCGCACTCTCACCGAGGCCTAATCTGCAGGTGGATGGTGGATGGTAGATGGCATCGGGATGGTATGGGGATCGATGGTATGGGGATGGGGGCTTCTCGGCGGAGAGATGGCATAGTGATTGGTTTTGCCTCCGCTAATGATGATTACCCACTTTTACCGGGCACATATAAAAATCAAAAGCGGTTTAACGCGTTTCTCGACTCTCGGACACTTTATGCACTGCCTACAGGTACACTGTGAGAAATGGGCAAATTATTTGCATTTTCTGAAAGCGAAGAAAACATCTGGAAATAGCTGAAATAAAATTCTAGAAATAATGTTAGATAATATAATAAATAATTAAAATTCTAAAATATTATATTATATTATAAAATATTTTATTAAATATAAAATAAGATTTATAAAGCTAAAAATAAAATAATAATAAATAACCATTTTAAAATCTAAAAAATAAAAATATTTCTTTTAACTTTTGTTGGTTTATTAGTTTCCTTTTTTCATTTAATTTTTTTTTACATTTTTTTCCAGTGCACACCGCACAACCACGTATATATTTCGCCTCTGCACTTCTCGTCCGCCTCATTGCGATTCAATTAAAAACGCTTAACCACCACACAACCCGTTGTGTCGTCGCACCCAAAAGAAAGCCACTTGCTGCTGCTGCCATTGCCATACAAATCAGTTACTAGAGCTCGGGGCGTGTCGCCCACTTGGCTTCTTCTTCCTTGGCCTTGGCCATATTTATCTCTTGATTTCTCCCAAAAAAAAAAAGAAATATATATATAAATATTTGAGCAACCAGTTCCCAGATGAATTTAATTGCAAATTATCATGTCTCGTATCATGTGTAATTTTTCTGCTGTTTTTTGAAGTTTTCCATCGCCGAAGAAAAGTGAAATTCCATTTGGCAATTGTTTTTTTTTTTTGGACGCCTCTCTCTCTTTCTTTCTTCCATTTCATGTCAGCGGGTTAGCAGGGATTTGTCAAAAAGGAAAAAGAAACAAAAAACAAAAAGCTGGTGAAATCTCTGGCTGAAAAACGTGCCGAAAATGCATTTATGGGCCCCCCTCAAAAATGCCACAAGGTCATTAAATTGTTATCATGGCTCTTCGCTGTTTTTACAATGTGTTAAGTTAACTTAAACTTAAGTTAAGGTCTGGCATGTAAAGTCTTGAATTTTGTCACGAGTGCCCAATATATTTATCTCTCACCCAAATAGCTTTGAAAAAATCACCAAAGAGCCAAAAAAATATCTATAAATTATGCTCCATCATTCTGTAAATGTGGCCCAACAACCATTGTTGTTCGACCGAAAATGCACTACAACCATTTTTATGGAGCAATTTCTTCGGTTAATTGAGGAAATACTGATGGTTTTCGGGCGGTTTAGAAGGAAATAAAACGCACCACACCTTGTTATAACTTCATTTGCTGGAGTAATGGACAAATCTACAGATTGAGATAAGCAGATATGCGGTTTAATTTGGAAATGGGAAATAATTACAAAAGGGTTTTAGCCGCAAATGAAGTTATTACTGGGATAAGTTGGAGATTTCCTGTTAACAACGGATTTCATAACAAAAGATAGATCAAACATTTTTATAAGAAATATTTTACTAAATATACAAAAAAAAAATTTTTAAAACAAACAAACAGAAATTAAACGAAATTTCCTATGTAATTTATCTTATTTGCACAACAAATATTCGTATATTTTTGAAATAAATACCACATCAACTTGAGATGATTGTCGCATAAATTGAAGCGATTTATGGCACTCCATCGGATTAGAACATGAATCAAATGGAGCCGCCGGACCGCAAAAACAAGTTGACTCCACATTGTCACTTCATCCATCCATCCATCAAACTCAATATGTCGGGCATAGTAGCATAGGAAATATTCGAAAAACGAGATCAAGAACTGGGCCAACTGCCGAATCGACACCTTGGCTAAATTTGAGCATTTCCGTTTTGAAAATGCTTCACGGATTTCACTGGTCCACCAGCCGAAAAGTCCAAGTTAAATGCCAAGTTTTTCATTTTCTCATCGAGTTTTTTCTTTACTACTTTATTTTCGTTGATTTTTTTTTTTTGCAACCACAATCAATGTTGGCCAAGTGGCGGTGGTGGTGGCTGGAAAACTTGTAGAATGCACGACGGCTTTTCAAAAAGTGCTCAATGCTATATCAATAGCACCACAACCACCACCACCGTCAACCAGTGGCAACAACAATAGCGTCTGTACACCTGTCTAAGCCAAAAACAAAAAGAAGTCAACGGCGGCGGTAACAACAACAGCAACAGCAGCAAGCAACAACAACAACACGTTGGCCAGGGCCGCAAAGTTGATCGTGCTGCGCCCAAAAACCCAACAACTTTTAATTTCAACACATTCCAGCACAAGACTCCACAATCAAGACAACCGAACAGTGGTTTCAATCGAATTTGATCGGATTTGATCGATAAGATAAGGGGTATTTGATATTAACCCAAAGAACTTCTTGGGATTTTTATAGGTTTGAATACAAACATTACTTTAATAAAAAAAACTTTTGTGTAGTAAAACAAAAATTTTAATTATTTTTTAAAGATTCCTATTTATTTATTCAAATTATTTCTGAATTTCGGTTTTTTTATAGATTTTTATATCAAATGGTTGTGTTTTTGGGTGTTATTTTATTATGTATAGATATTAAAATAAAGCGTTATTTATGATATTTAAGCAGTGGTTACAACTTCTAGAATTCACCACAGCTGAGCAATTTGTACGATCACCTGGCCCAAGGTGCGATATACAGCAGTGGGTACTACGTACATACGCGCGACTTGACTTTCTTTGCGGCCTAAGCCAAAAAACAAGTTCGGGCTCGGCTTCGTTCGGGCCAAGTTGTAGCGAGCTACACGGACAGAAAAAACGAATAGTAGCCAAATAAAAATGGTAAATTAGTTAAGTGATTATACATAATAACTGGTAGCTGTTTAGAAGTTTAAGTATTATAGTTTAATATAAAAATAATATAATAATAAAAATATATATAGGAAAAAAAATTCGTTGAGTAGAAATGGTAATTGAACCCAAGGTTTTGTTAGAGTTTGTAATTTTATTAAAATTACATCAAATCCTGATATTAAAACTTATTCTTCAGAATGATATACTGAAACATAATAAACTTACACTGGTTTCGAACTCTAAACAAACAAAAAAGTTTGTATTTTTATTAAAAATACATCAAATTCTGATAATAAAATATTATATAACGAACTTACAGTGGGATTCGAACTCTGAACAAAGAAAAAAATTTTTTTTTTGAAAATTACATTAAACTCTGATATCAAAGCTTAAATTTAAGGATGGTATATTAAAATGTATGTAATATAGGAGCGAATTATTTTGCAGTGTGGGGTCCGTGGGGTCCGATGTGGCGGGATCGGTTGGGCGGGGGTTACGGCTCGGTCGAGAGCTGTGGGCTCCGAGCGGTTTTAGAGGCAGTCAGCCAAGTCAGTCGATTGCTGGCGGTCGAAGCGTTGAGACGTCTGTTCGCGGTTGAAAAAAAAAGTTGAGCGCGAGTGAAGCGAACTCTTTTTGTTAACGTTTTTTTTTCTGTTGTTGTTGTTTCTTCCAACCACTCATAGATACTGAGGTGTGTACTGGTGTGTGTGTGTGTGTGTGGTACTGATGTTATGTGTGTGCCAGCAGAGAGAAAGAAGACTCTCTTCTCTTGGCCATTACCGTTAATCAAATAAGTTTTTTAGAAATTTAAACGCTCCACTTCGGCAAGAATGTGTGCGTGCGTATCTGTGTGAGCGCTAAGAGCTTTAAACGGTTCATTGATCGAGTTCAGCTCGGAAATGGAGCAAAAGCGTAGAAGGAATAAATGAAAAACAACAAACAAAACAAAACAAACGAGCAAACAAATAGTGCAAGTGCCAAAGTGTATATACATGTGTGTATGTGTGTGTGTTACCAATTCGCATCGAAGTGGCGGCAGAAAATGCGCTTAACCCATTTATAAGCGGTCTGAAATAAACCAAACCAAGCCAAACCATACAAATCCAATAAATGGCCAAAAAAGGCGAGCAACAAAAAAGACAAAAGACAAGAATAACACACAACTAACGCCCAAAGAACTCTTGATTTGCATGCACAGAAAACAAAAACTCTTTGAAGAACTCTTGAAGAAAAGCCCCGAATTCTTTAATTTTTAATGCATTTTTTAACATCTTTAAATATAATTAATCTGTGAAAATATCAACAAGCTCAACAAGGACTTAAGAACTCGTACTTAGTTTTATTAAAGTTAATCTTTGGCTTATACAGATATATATATTTTTGAGTGCTAATGCTTATAAACATGCTTTATTTGCCCTGTAATACCGAATGGATATAAAACAGTTTAAAAAAATATATTTATTAAATATTATAAAAAATAACAAAAATAGTATGAGTAACATACGATTAAAAAAATATTGAAAAATTAATATATTTCGATTTTATATTATCTGGCAAGTACAACATTTAGTGTACTATAATAATTTAATATTCAAAGTTTTGGCGTACAAAATTATTTAATATTCGCATTAACAAATCATATACGAAAATTCCGAATCGTAGTTAAACTCAGCTATAAAAAAAAACAAGGCGCCGAGACATGAAACTTGTGTTATTATGGACAGATGATTCTACAGATTGCTTAGATACACCTCACCTTATATACACAAAGCCCCAGACAGATACAATCCGGCATAACAAAAGATCTCTTTGCAAATTGTTTATTTGCTGCTTGGCTGATCAGCAAACGGATTGTTTATGCTAATATCTTCAACTGTGGTACGAACATGGGGCTCTTTCATCACATTCGCATAAAATGGAAATCTATTTTGGTTTTTTCTTGCGGCTCCAGGGAGTTCCTGACTCCGAACTGGTCTGCTGAATATTTAACTAAATTTAGAACTAAAAGGTTGAGCAGAAAAGTCTGCCATTTTTATATTTTTTAAATAAATAATAAATACTTAGACATTATTTTTATTACAAATATTGGAAAAAGTATCAGAAAAACAGGTGACTTCAGTTAAGAGGGCCATCAATCAAAATTCTCATGTAGGAAATGCTTTTAAAACAAGTTTCGACCACAAGAAATCCGTAGATAATTGTAAAAAACCACAATCTTTTTTGTGACTCAATATCCATACTTCCTGGAATATATTCAAAGAGATATCCAAACGAAACGAATTTAAAATTATTTACTTCCATAACTATTTCGCTTGAAAACTAAATTGAAAATTAGCCAAAACCGAATTATCACACATAAGATTTCATTTAAAACTCAAAGTCTTAGTTTGTAGCTTTTTCCGAATTGTTTGCGATTCCCATAAATGCTAAGCTGCGAAAAATCACGTACTGCCAAATTTCTTTATAGAACTTCGCATTCTCAAAAGCCAGCTGTGTTTTTATCGCATTCTGTCAGGTTTTTGTTATTATCATGCATTCTCGTATATTTAATATATTTAGATCCGTTTTGAGGTTAATAATATCGTTTGTGGGCAGCTATTTTTCAATATACTATATATGTATGTTCTCTCAGCGACTTTTGTATACGACAGTATGTAAATTTTTAAAGCACACAATAAAGAGTCGCCTCCTCTGCGGTTTTTATTTGCCTTGTTGTTGAGAGCTGAATGCATAACTGAAAAAACAAGATTCCTTTGGCCTACGCGGTATCATCGATTATCAAAGTTATGAGGGGAGAATCCCATACACAGTATAATGCACTGAGAAAAGTTACTACACTTAAATGTATTTAAATAAAAATATATTAGTAGGTCATGCCAATGTTGTTAAAACTACCAATGAAGGTGAAATGGCCAAAAATTTGGGAATTTTTAATGTTTAACTAATTAAAGATCTTATAAAAAATGTTCTAAAAAACAATGGTTTATTATATGGTCATAAATAAATTGATTTGTACTTTGAGATAAAATGTAATGGCACTTAAAGCATTTAAAATGTAATTATGAAAACAAAACTTGATAAGGGGATGTGATATTACATGATATCATATGATATGATGATAATAGAATCTCAAAACTAAGACATATATTGTTTTCTCTGTGCATTTAAATGGCATCCCAACACCTGTGTGACGGGTTAATACCGTTTGCCTGTTTGGCCGGTTCGATTTTGGTCGGTTTTTTTTGTCGTTTTTGGCCCCAGTTTTGATGTTCCTCCACGGATTGTTTTCTGGTTTTCTCGTTTTCTCACAGAATTATGACACATGACGAGATTGCATTTGAATCCATCTGGTTTGCCGTTAGCCACTTCTTACAGTGCCTATCGAAAAAAAACAGTTGATTTGCATTCCAGTTTCTGTTCGGTTTTCGATCAATTTGAAATCCACCGGTGGAAACGTTTCCTCTTTGACATTAAGATCTCTGATTTGTGGCGTCATTAGTCATACTCGATTGCCGATATAATTTCATACGTGGGCAACAGGCAGTTCTCTTTTTTTTCACAATCTAATGGGATTACGTTTTTGGGGAATCTTAAGTCTTCCGATTTGTGTTTTGATCTTTCGAGGAAGCTAACGGTTGGCTCTGTTAGAAATCTTCAAGAATCAAACGTTTCCACTCTGTTTTTCTGTTTATTTTAGCAAACCTGTTTTTCGTCAGTGGAATTTAGCACATGTTTACCTTTTGTTATAAACTTTTATATACTTGGCTGTCTTAAATTTGTATATATAATCTTAGTAGATTTAAAAGTTTTATCCTAATAACTTGGAATTTGTATTTATATTTTTATTATTATTAATGGTAACCAAAAATACCATAGTATTATAGTATTTGGAGTAATGACCAGCGCTTACTTAATTGCTATAAGTTTAAACGCTTTATGTAATCGTCCATTAGGAATTCCTCAAAAATTTGCAGTCAAACATGTTTTTAAATTACAAATTTTAATTGCCATTCTGTTTTATTTACTAAAACCCTCTTAATCCGATTTCCCAGCCTATGTAAATCTTGTGATTTCATTAAGTGATTTGTAATTTATGTTTCTTTGCCTTGACTTCGTTTCTAATTATACAGAAAACATGTTATTGCTTTTCAACTGCTCAATATTTGTTATTGGTATTGAAATTAAGTTTAGTTGTTATTGAACTATTGAATTTGACGATTTTGTAAAGATCAAGTACAATCAAATAATTATTAAAATTTTGATTCTATAAAAAATATTTTACTATGTTGAGATCTATTTTGATTGAAACTTTGATATATGTTTTTTTCTGAATAACCAAAGACTTACCCCTTTTCCAGATGATCTAAATGCCAATTAGCATTTACACCCGACCATCGACGATAAATCGCCTTTCGAATAGTCGCCCCATTTTCTTTGAGTGTGCCTGAGTCGCACATTCCGTCCTGAAGATGGCGCTGCGCCTGCGTCGCGACGTGCAGAAGGCCTCCTATTATGTGTGGTTCCTGGGCGCCGAGGAGGCGAAGGGGCTGCGGGGCGCCCGCGTTATCAATTCGGTCCTCCCCTATTTGGTGGACAGGTCCCGCGGCCAGGAGCCGCTCAAGGTCACGCTCCAGGTCTCCCACAAGGGCATCAAGATCGTCCAGGTATTTTCCACTAGAATAATAAATAATTTCGATGAGTAAAAAATGGATAGAAATTTTAATTTAATTTAATTTCAATAAATCTTAAAGTTAATATATTTATTATTTAACCAAAACCCTAAACGAACAAGTAATAATACCTTATAAGGCAACCATATATTTTTATTTATTTTTCTTATCAAATTAAAGGTTTTATATGAAATTTAATTCAAATTAAAGTCGAAAATAAATCATTTTTGTTCCATCATATTTATATTAAAGCGCTCAAATGAAATTTGAATATTTTGCAATATAATAGTAATATAATAAAAATATTTAAGCCTCGTTGGAATTTTTGACTTGGTTCTTCTTTTTATTTATTTATTTGGCTCCTATTTTAATTCCGAAAACTGTAATCCGATTTCCGCTGAGTGGCGCACCCATTAATCCCTGTTCTCGAACATCCATCCATATCCATCCTTATCCGCAGGGGGCCTCGAAGCATCTGATTCCACACAGTGCCATAACCAGCTCCGTGCAGACGGACGACATCGTCGCCTGCGTGCTGCTGCTCTACAATCCGGCCACCAAGTGTCCGCTCCACGTCCACGCCTACCGCTGCGATTCGGAGACGACGGCGGAGGCGCTGCACCTCCAGCTGCAGATCCTCATCAACCGGCCCGACAACCAGAAGCGCTTCGAGGAGCTGGAGACCAGGTGGGTTTTTAATAAAATATTTTAAAAAATGAACTTACTTTTAAATATTAAAATAAGTGCCTCAAAGTATGATGTGAATAAAGGATAGTCGTCTTCTTTCTATGAATTCATAATACTTTTGGATTAGAAATATATTGTTGCATACTTTTAGACACCTTAAAGTGATTTTAGCTGTTTTTATATTTTCCTAAAATTTATGCAGAAAGTTATGATTTATAAAATGCACTTATTATATAAATTATATTTAAAATTGATTTAAAAAGGATTTTTAAAAGCATGAAAATATTACAACTCCCACTTTTAATACAGTTGCACATTATAATGTTAATTGGGCATTTTCAGCTGTAGTTTAGTAGTTTTTTTTTGCGAGTGCTGGGGACTTTTGTTATGCAACATTTAATTAATTGTGCCGCAAACTTTGGCAGCGAGCAGGAAGCCGAAGCCGAAGCCGAAGCAGCCGGGCCACTTAGTCACTCCATTAGACACACTCACCCAAACACATGACGACCGATCGTGATAATCGCCCTGGTCGGCAGGAGGGGGTTTGATGATGATAATAATGGGGGCTCTTGGACTCCCAGCTTGAGGTCTCCCAGTGGCCCCGTAATTGCAATGGCAATCTCCACCGACTGCCGCATTCCCACGAAGACAGCCCAGCGATTCTGCCATCGCCATCGCCCACGCTGCACCCACATCCACATTCACATCCACATGCTCTTCCAAGTCCATGACTTTAAATATCTTAAATGCCTCTTCAAGCTCGCTTGATGGCTTCGCGGAAATTCTGCTTTCAAAGCTGCCGCTCAGCCAAGCTGTCACCATCGATAAACGTTGAAAAGCTGCCAGGCGAGGAGGAAAAACTCTAGAATTCTGGTAGCTAACGGTCGAGCACTTGAACTTGGCCAATGATTAATCATATTTTAGTGGCCTTTCCAAAGCACCAACAAAATAAACTGCGCTTTTATATAAAATTTACATTAAAATACCAAATAATAAATTTTCTTGTCGTCATATTGATATAAATATTATTATTAATTTGGATTTAATATGGGTCTCTTAAGGGGAAATCAGACCTTAGCAAAAACCTATACTATATTACGAATATTTGATTAAAATATGGACGAAGTAGCTTTACTGGTTTGGGCTTTGAAATTGATTCCTAAAATATTAAGGAGAATTTTATATGTACCTATGGTAGATTCTTATAGAATATAGTTTGTAATCAAATGGAAACTCTTAACTGTTCAACTTAAATAATAGGTCAAAGTTCCTTCTAATTTAAATACATTTTCAATTAAAAAATGTAAATAAAATAATAAAAAAAAAATAAAAAAAATAAAAAAAATAAAATAATAATTAAAATTAAAATAAATTAAAGATGTTAAAGCTGAAGATAGAGTTTGGCTAGATTTTACTTATTTCTTAATTATTTAATTTAAAGAAAAAATTATAAATACTTACGCAATTTCCATTTGCAGGCTGGGCATCCTGCCGCCGATTCCCATGAACGGCGGCAACGAGAAGCGACACGAGTCGAATGGGAATGGCAAGTCCTCGTCCTCAGGAGGACCGGGATCGCACCACCACCAACTGCAGTCACAACAGTCGGGAGGAGGAGGAGGAGGCTACCAGGGTCGCCGGCACGAGACCTCCTCGCCCAAGCGATTCAGCAGCTCCCTGGGCAGCGATACGGGCAACAGCACCCGGGAGTCGGAGTGCAGCGAGGAGCACGCTGGCCTGGCCGGCGGATCTTCGCCAGTTTCTCGCTCACCGCCGCATGGCAAACAGCAGCAGCATCCCCACTCCCACTCCCATCCACATCCACATCCACATCCGCCACATCCTCCGCTGCACCATCCGCCGCTGACGCCGCAGCAGAATAGCGACCTCTTCGATTCGCTGGCCGCCGAGCTGAGGGCCAAGTTGAATGGCAACGGACCGCCCTTGTTGCTGCCGCCGCGGGACTACGATACGGTGCACCGATCCAAGGGCAATCTGACGGCCATCGAGCTGAGGCGCTGCCGCAACGCCCTCATTGTGGGTGGTTCGCCGAAGGGCCCAGGTGGTCAGGGCGCGGCAGCCAGCGGTGCGGCAACGAGCGGCGGAGGAGGGGTGGGGGGAGCGGCCAACGCCAATGGCAAGCAGGTCTCCTCCCGCGGCTCCTCGGGCATCGGTTCCGACCTGGCCCCCAGTCCCGAGCGACAGGAGCTCAACAGCTCCAGCGGTAAGTATTACTTATTATTCGTCTATACTAATAAAAGAGTCGCTTAAAAAAACGGAAGGTTGACTTGGTAGCCAAAACGGCTTAACTTAAAAATCTAAAAAAAAAACCGAAATTCAGAAATAATATTTTAATAATAACTATGTCTTATTCGTTTGAATGCCAGTCATAGAAAATTATTAAATCACTTATATATGATCTGAAAAATAACCGAAATTCAGAAAAAATATTATAATAATAACTATGTCACATTAAATCATGCAGTTATTGTTATTCTATAAATTTTATTCAAAAAGAAAATTTTTTTTGAGGAATCATCATTTAAGTTATTCTTAGTTTTCACTTCTTAGCCTTATATATATTTTATAACATTTTTAACTGATATATTTTCATTTCCTCACCCTCTCTAGATGACGAGCACTGGTCGAACGAGGCGGACAACTCGGTGATTGCCCTGAAGCCGTCACAAATCGCATTGCCCCATCATGGGCAACTGAAGAGGAAGAGCGCCGTCCAGCCGCCGGAGGACAGCTATCTGCGGGATCTGCCAGCCAAACCATATCAGCCGCGTCCCAGCGAAAGGGAACTGGAGAGGGAGAGGGAAAGGGAAAGGGAGAGGGAGAGGGAAAGGGAGAGAGACAGAGAGAGGGAAAGAGATAGAGAAAGAGATAGAGAAAGGGATAGGGAGAGGGAAAGGGAGCGAACCAAGACGCCAGCTTCCATTTCGAACAAATCCTGGAGTCGCGAGGATGAGATCAAGCCGATTATCATGCGACCCGCCGACTACGATGCCAAGTTCAACCGGGTGATGCAGCAGGAGCAGCAGCTCCATGCCAACCAGCCCAGTCATCCGGCCAAGCTCCGGGATACGGACAAATACAACGAGATCAATCGGTTGCTGAACAAGAAGCTATCCCACGAAAGGGAACGCAAGCCGCGCTCCTCGCGGTTGGAGGATAATCATCATCATCACGACGACTTCGAGGATTCGGACCAGGGCAGTGAACCCCTGCAGGGAGGAGGAGCACCGATCATCCACCACCATCACAGTCGCAAGACGGAGAACGGCAACCTCACCGACAAGCAAAAGTTCATGGAGTACTCGGTGAAGAAGCAGCAGCTGCTCAAGAGCTACGGCGGCGCTGGCGAGGATCAGCAGCGGTATCGCCAGCAGCGCTATGTGGAGCAGCCGGCGGATCATCAACTGCCCTTGGAGGGAGCTGGTCACAACAAATACGCCGCTGTTCACAGGGGCACTGGTGATTTGGTGGGTCAAAGGACCACCGAAAGGATCCGACATGATCGGGAGAGGGATCGTGAACGCGAGAGGGATCGTGATCGGGAGAGGGATCAGGTGGATCGAGAGCGGCGAAGGGATCACGAAAGAGAGCGGGAGAGAGATCACTCGAGGGATCGCAATCCCTACAGGGAAGCCGAGAGCCTGCCCTACATACAGAGCATGGAGAAGATGATGAAGTCCACGGGCATGCGCTATGGCGATGCCAGTCCCAAGATCAGGGATCAGCGGGAGCGGGAGCCGCCGGCGCAGGGATCGCAGCGGGATCGCTTCCACGATGCCAAGGACAAGTTCCGGGCCATGGAGCAGCGTCCGGGGGTTAATCGTTATCCGGATTTGGATGAACGCGACACGCCGATACACAGGGATCAAAGAGATCCAAGGGACCCAAGGGATCCCTATAGGTCATCCTCCCGCCGGCGTCGCGGTTCCGTGGAGCCACCCAGCACCTATGAACAGTGGAGCGAGGAGGAGGAACCTCCACCGGTGGTGGTAAGCGAAAAGTCCAATCGTTCGCGAGCCAGATCGCGCGGAGAATGGGAACCACCGGAACCAGCTCACCCGGCGCCCACCAGACTTATGGATCGAAATATTCGGGATCGAGAGAGGGATCGTGAGAGGGAGCGCGAGCGCGAGAGAGATTATAATAGAGAGCAGTCCCGGGATCCCTATCGCCATGAGAGAGGAGAGCGAGGAGAGAGAGTCGAAAGAGAGCGAGAGCGTGAGCGGGAGAGGCCGGGCGGAAGAGCCCGCTCCCGGGAATTCCTGCAGAATGTCGAAACGAAGAATCCATCGACAACGGGTTCGGGTCGCGGCCACTTGGAGCGCTATCCCTCGCCCGCGGCCACGCCCATCAGATCCGGAGAAGTGGGAGGCGGCGGCGGTGGTGGTTCTTCCGGCGGAAATAGCGGTAAACCACTGGCCCAAATGCCCAAGGGCTACAGACACAGCTATGCAGAGCCCGTGTTCGCCAGATCCGGAGGACGCGTGGGTCTGGCGGCAGTTAATCCCTATTAAGTAGAGAACTTTTGGGGGAAGGGAGAAAAGAACACCCCCGATGACCAAAAGCTAGAACCGTGCAACGAAATCCAAACTAATCGAAGGGGGGAAATATACAGAGTGTCGCCTAAATCTCCAGGGATCTTGACTTTTGAAAGATTTACAAAAAAAATTCTGTAATTACTTTTAATAGAGAATTCCACAGATCCCCTGGAAATATTTCGAGATTTCTGCGCCACTCGACGTTATAAAATATATCCATGTAAACATTTAGGCTAAGAAATAACCACAGTGGCAACTGCTTACGACGAACCACAAAATCACTTGTAAGCACTTTGCTAACTATCACGTATAATCAATATACTCAATTGCTATAGCAAAGATTGCCCTCTCACGCGAGAAATATATATGCAGATGTCAAGACTATATATCAATCCATTGAGACCGAGGAAAAAGGCGCCAGCCCCTGTAATTATGTGCCTTCAGAGAGAGAAATCGTGTTTTTATTATATGCATAATACTGATTTAGCCTACGATTATTTGTATATGAATCTAATGTTATCTGAATGCCAACGAAACAAGAATCGGATTGGATTTCTTACCACTTTTTTTTTTTTGTTTTTTTGCTACCTTAAGTTGCGCGGTTGGTTGGTGTTTCGCCTTTTTTTTTTGCTATGCAGTTCACATATGTCACGATATCTGATATCTGTAAGCATATAATATAGATAAATATATACCACATAAACATATACATATAGCTGATGTATCTATTGTTATCAACTTGATATTTGCATTAATAAAGCGCTAGAAAAAAATATACCTTTCGTTTTCTATGTTTAATTTACTTTTAATAAACTTTGAAACTCAAAGTGGACTGCCAAAATCCTAAGCTACCACCAAAATTAAGATCGTGAATACATGACGAAATTAGCCATGACTTTTACCACGAACCTTAAAAATTTCTACATGTTTATTACATGTCGAAAGCTTTTACCCAAGTCAAAGGGAAAGGAGAAGGCTGATCGACCATTATATACCCGCTCTGTAAACTAAAATCGAAATAAATAGGCATCCAGATGGCGCCACTTTAGTTGTTGACTTCACTAAAAATATCAAGATCAAGATTTTCCCAAAATTATGGATTTTCTAGTTGATTTTCTTCGTAACTTTGTCAATAAAGGTCCCACAGTAAAAGAAAAACTATTGGTATAAGGAACTGGCATCCATAGCAAACGATCCTCATCACTTTTTTACTGATTTTATAAAATAAATTAAATAACCAATTTTCTCATTTTTGATAAGGGGTTACATCACAATTTTTTGCGAAAAATTACAAAATTTAAAAATTTGTAGGTTTGAATGCCAATCGATTGGGAATTTAATAACGAGTTCAGAAAGGTATTACATTGCATATTTGGACCATTATTGCCATTGTTGTGGCCAAAATACTGTTATTTTTTGGGCTGGAAAATCAGGATCTTGATTTTTGGTAAAAATTTCATTTTAAGTTATAGATTTTTTGCTGTAACTTGGACAAAAATGGTCCCAAATCAAAAAGGCAAACTGTTTTGAGCAGCTTACAACCCTATAATTAATATCAGTGCGCTTTCCGACTGATTTGAGAAAATTAATTTTTGACCCAATTTTCGCATTTTTGGTAAGGGGTACCATCAACATTTTTTCCAAAAAATGGCAAAAATTAAAAATTTCCAGGTTGAAATGCCAATCGATAGGGAATTTTATTACGAGTTCAACGAGGTATGACATTCCCTGTTTGGATCATTATTTCCATTATTATGGCCAAAATACTGTTTGTTTTTGGGGTAAAAATTAAGATCTTTTTTTGGACAAAAATTTGAATTTTGCTAAATAGGGTTTTTGCTGTAACTTGGACAAAAATGGTCCCAAATCAAAAAGGAAAGCTGTTTTGAGCAGCTTACAACCTTATAATTAATATCAGTGCACTTTCCGACTGATTTGAGAAAATTAATTTTCGATCCAATTTTCGCCTTTTTGGTAAGGGGTACCATCAACATTTTTTCCGAAAAATGGCAAAAATTAAAAATTTCCAGGTTGAAATGCCAATCGATAGGGAATTTTATTACGAGTTCAACGAGGTATGACATTCCATATTTGGACCATTATTTCCATTGTTACAGCCGAAATTGTGATGTTTTGGGGTACAAAATATGGATTTGGATTTTTAGACGAAAGTAGCATTTTTTGAGGATTTTCCATCGTAACCTTGGTCAAATCAAGGCCGACAGCTAAAAGACTGACTGTTTTGAGCAGCTAACAACCTACGCTAACGATCCCCATCCCTCGATATAACTACGAGCTCAACGAGGTAGGACATTCCGTACTTTGAATTTATTTTGGGCCATATCGGCTGAAAAACTGGTTTTTTAGAATGGAAAAAAACTCTTTGATCCGCACACAGAGGTTTTTGTTGTTTTACATTTTTATTGTTTAATTTAAAAACTTTTTGTTTGGTTTTTTCACAATAGTTTTTGTTGTTTGTTTTCTCATTTTTTAAGAATCTTTTTTCTTTCAAAACAAAAATAGATTAAAGAAAAATATTTTATATAATATATTTTTTCTCTTTTTGTTTGTTGCTCTCTCTCAAGTTAATTTAAGAAACAATTAATCAAGTTCTTATTTAATTATACAAATTTAAAAAAAAATAGTAATTATATAATAATAAAAATAATAATTATAACGGGGGAAAATGCAAATAGTTGTTTGTTTTGTTGTAGTAGCTGTTTTTGTTGTTGATGTTTTTCCATATCTATTACTATTCGTTCCGTTTTCTCTATGAATCCATTGGGAAAAGGAGAAATGTATTCTTTCTATTGTTTTTGTATATCTTTTTTTTCCGATAGCTTGATCGTTTCTTTCTCTGATTGTCCTTATAGATCTGGTTCTGGCCGTATTTGTCGGTTAAACACTTTATATTTATATTTATATTGATGTGTGTGTGTGTGTGTTGGTGTGTCTGGCTGAAATTGTTTCTCGATTACTTCTTTTTCTTGATTCTTCCTCTATACAAGCTCCCAGACAAAACGGCGGTCAAACAAAATATATATCCATGAAACTTGTGGATCTCTTCAATTCACTTTAGGAGGCAGGAAGTTCTTGTGGGTGGAAAAGGGACGTCGCTGGGGGGATAGTAGCAATAGGCTTTGCCAGCGACCGGAATTATTTGTTGCTTCTTCTTCATCATATCATCATCGTTATTATTATCTTCTCTTCTTTTTATGTAGTTATATATCTTTCTCTTTTTCTTTCTGGAGACTCGGCTCCCTCCCTCTCGCTCGCTCTCAATCGATCTGGCCTGGTCTGGTGGCTCTATAGCTTTACATGTTCTCGAACTGATCGACGCGACGCTTTGTGTTGCCCTTGCGGATCTCGCGGAGCGTCTTGTACTTGTCACGTCCCTGGCGAACGTTCTCGCGATGGATCTTGTCGTTTGCCGTCTCTTTCGTCTCGTCGCGAGACTGCGCCAGATCCTGTTTCAGAGCCTGGAAGTAAACAAATTGATATTAATACGAGATTTCATGTTTAGGAAATTTATAGCGAACATAATAGTTGATCTATTGGAGTGGTCAAGTGATTTATTCAGAATTTGTGAAACTTTTATGCTGTTTGTAAACCTCTTTGATAGGAAACTTGTCTTTTTAGGTACATCATTACATAGTTTCATAATTAAAAATAATAACCAATTGATCTATTGAAAGGATCAAGTGATTTATTCAGAATTTGTGAAACTTTTATGCTGTTTATAAACCTCTTTGATAGGAAACATGTCTTTTTAGGTATATCATTACATAGTTTCATAATTAATATTAATAATTAATATTAATTGTTCCATTTGGACTTTAAAAATGTGTAAATCATTCTATTGATTATTTCTTTTCCACAACTCTAATCTCAACCCACCTTGAGCTGATCGTGCAAGCGCTCGTTGCGCTCGGCCAGCGTGCGTCTGTCCTCGATGGGGTCCTTGATATGCTCGTCGGTGTCCAAGTCGCGCGACACATCGCCGCCGGCGTCGCCGTTCGTCAGCTCCTCCTCGTTCTCGTTCTCATCCTCGGCCACGTGGTGGTGCTGCGGCGTTGTCGACGCGGCCAGCAGAGCGGCGGCGGCCTCGGCCTGCATATATTAAAAAGGGGCAAGATTAGATTAAGTTCTCTTCAAAGGGAAACTACACATAAGGTTCAAAATTATACCGCAATGACCTGCTTGCGTCGGGCGTCCTCCACCTCGTCCTGCAGGCGCTTGGTCTCCTCGTCCTTGGCATTGACCTCGTCCTGGATGCGCTGCACCTCCATCTGCTTGGCCATGATCTCCTCCTCGAGCTTGAGCTTCTCGACGGCCTCCATGTTCTTGGCCTCCTCGAGGCGCTGCAGCATCGCCTGCAGCTCCTTCTGGCGCAGCTCGAGCTCATCCTTGGCCGCCTGCAGCTGCTTCAGCTGCTCCTCCAGCCGGCGAATCATGTCCTGGGCCTCGAGCAGGTCGCGCTGCGAACGCTCCATATCCTCCTGCATCTGCTTCAGCCGATCCTCGTACTCCTGCTGCTTCTTCTCAGCCCGTTCGCGTGCGGCCAGCGCCAGCTGCAGCTTCTCACTGAAGAAGGAGGCAAAAAAGGAATTGTTTAATTGTATTGTTGAATAGAAAAAAAGGAGTGTTTATAGATTAGAGCTAGAGCCCTGCGTGAATCATTCAATTTTTGGTTTTATCATTTGTTTAATTCAATTCTATGTGCAATAAATTGAATGTTTTTCTAATTCATTTTGAATTGAATGAATGAATAATTTTTATGATTTTTTTGTGCTTTCTTTTGAGAACAAAAAGTGGAAAACTTTTAACAAATCAATGCTAAGTGCTGAGTAAATAAAATTCATTCAGAGTTAATCACAAAATTATGGGCCTTTCTTCTTCAAAAGAAATTGTCGTTTGAATTATTTCGGAATTCATGCCATTCATTCATTCAATTCTATTTAACTCAAAATTCAAATT